CGGACACCGGGTGAGGGTTCGGACTCCAGCTAATGACGGTCAACACAAACACAGCTCAGCACCAACACACTCACCCTGTAAGGCGTAATGCATCCCTCCTATCCCGCTGTACAGCTCGAGCACCCGCAGGTTCCCCATGACGGTCTGCAGCGGTTGTGAATCGCGCCTGCGCGACCGTAAATGGATGCGGCAAAATGTCGTAAAATAACACATGCGCTATAGCATAGCTCACCCCTAACTCATGCCCGGTTGCCTAGCGACGCCTCTTGTTTGTTTCGGAGGTTCTGGTTGTTTGTTGGAGCTCCCTGTTGAGCAGCGTTCAGCTTTTTGTCAGACTGTAGATTCTGGATGTTGTCTGATCCATAAATGAAGACCTACCTGCAGCGCTGCCTTCACCTGTGCACCTTGTATGTCAGAACCATCAGAGGGCACTGGCCTCTTGGAGCGGTGACCAGACTCACTCAAACCAACAAAACGTGATGAAAACTGAGCAAAAAATGTGGACTCCTGTCCAGTAGAACCATGAGACACTCGGGCTGTATCCGGGCCTGAAGCCATCACGGCTACACTTCAGTCTTCCCTCCACAGCATGTCGGGCAACAAACAGTAAAGCTTGAAGGGCTGCACTCATCATTCTGCTGTGAGCTCCTCGTGTTCCAGCCTGGATGTGTTCAGTTTGCAGACTGAGCAGCTCCTTGTTGCTCTCAGCCGTCAGTGGGTCGCTGATGGTTCTCAGGCAGGTAGAAGGAGCCTCTCCTCCTCTGGTTTCCACACCGCTCCCACCACTCCATGAAACAGAGCTGCAGGACACCACGTCCAGCTCAGTGGTGGACAGAAGCTCTCCTGGTTCACTGCTTTGATGCTGCATCAGCTCAGTAACGAGTCATCTGAACCCACATGTGATTTAAAACTGAACTCAGATGAAAGTTCAACATCTTCTTCAGCTTCAGTTCAGGACTCCACGGATCCTCCTCGACCTGCTGAGCACAGCTCGGTCCAGCGTCCACGGTGACGTCATTCAGGAGGCAACGCTTCAGACCTTCTCTACATAACGTGGAACCACTCAGAACAGCTTCATGTAGACCTTTACCTTCATGCTTCTAACCAATGAATAACTACAGATGTGTGTGACTGTGGAGGGAAAGCTGGTTCTCCAAACTCAGAGCAGCTCAACTTTGTTTATTAGAAGATTTCAGGACTCAGACTGAAGCAAACTGCTGCTTCCTGTAGTTGGACATTACGCTTTAGAGTCTCAGTGGCTCCATGAGATTCACAGGAAGTTTAATTTCCCTGTGAAGCTGAAAAACGAGCAGCAGAAGCTGAGAGCTGCATGTTGGAATCTCAGCTCAGAGCTGAAGCAGCAGCGCCACCTGCTGTACAAACAGCAAACCAGCAGCTGGAGTCAGATGCGCTCTGCGTCCGTCTGAGTCACGTCCTTCATGTTCACGGCTGTGAGGCTTCCTGTTGCTGTGACAGTCTGACAGCAGCCACACACTCATGTTCCTGCATCTACACTCACTGAAGGGCCGACAACACACACCGTCAGCACAGAAACAGTCCACACAGCCCAGGACGTTTGGTTCACTTCACCTCATGTCAGGAACAATCAGTGACCGGAGCAGAAAGTCCAACAGAACCGCAGCGACTCAGTCAGCGTCAGGACCATCATTCAGGCTCCACTCAGGTTTATTTCTGTCAAACTGCTGCTTCCTGTAACTCTGTGGTGAACCTGCAGACTGAACTCGGCTCCAGTTAAACCATCACCTCACCTTCATGTTTTCTTCTGCAGCTTTCATCAACTTCCTGGAATAAAAACTCAGACTCACTTTGTTCACTCTGTGGGAGCAAAGAAACCAACTTTATCAAGCGTGTTACAGCTGATTGTGTTGATAAATGGTCACTAAAATACTTTAATATACTTTTATCCAAAGTGCTTTACTATGTGTTTCTCATTCACACATTCATACGCCAATGGTCACAGAGCTCCATGCAAGGTGCTGCCTGCCATTGGGAGCAACTTCAGGATTAGTATCTTGCCCAAGGACACTCTGACTGTGGAGGGGATCGAACCGCCGACCTTGCAATTGGAGGACAACCGCTCTACCACCTGAGCCACAGCCACCCTTTGAGCACCTTCATCACCTGTTGTGATGAACAGGACTGATGTGCAGCCGTAGTGTGTAGTGAATTAGACAGCAGCTTATGGCGCCGACATGTCCACTGAATGATGCTGCTTGAACAAACCACTGTGATAGAATTTAGTAATGAATCTGATGGACTGGTGCAAAACCAACCACCTGGCGCTGAACGCTGCCAAGACGGAGGAGCTCATTGTGGACTTCAGCCAGCACCTCTCACCATCAGCAGCACAGAGGGCCAGTAGCCCAGAGTTCCTGGGGGTGCAGATAATGGACTCCCTGACCTGGTCCCAGCACACTGGGGCTCAGCAGCACTTCCTGCACCGGATGAGGAGAGCTCAACCCCCTCCAGGTCTCACCACCTTCTCCAGAGGCTCTGTGGAGCACACTGAGCAGCTGCATCTGTCTGGTCAGGGCCTGCAGAACCTTGGACCGGACGCCCCTGCTGAGGGTGGTGAGGACAGTGGACAGAAGGACATCACTTCCTCTGATCCAGGACATGGAGTATAGTCGCTGTCTGACATCACTGGACTGATCCACTGGGCACTAAAACATGACGACACCCAATAATGTGAACGCTGTGTTTTAGATGGGTTTTATCCAGAGTCTCTTCCATTTATATATCTACTGTTCACACCTGTTCTTACCTGTTTAGTATTGTTCATATTCCTTATTGTGTCTGTCCTTTCTGGAGCCTCTGGCTCTGATGTAGACCTGCAACCAGGCCAGCTGACAGCCTCCCCTGGGCCCGGGACAAGATGATGTTAGATGCCCCCCTGCCGCCCCACTCACCCACATCTCCTCTTTTCTTTGCTCTTCCTCACCTGCTCCTCACCTTGCCTCCTCTTATTCTCCTCTATTCTGCTTTCTTTACATCTCTTTCATCCATCCTGCTCAGACTGTCCGACTGGGCAGCAAGACCCTCCCGCTCCACCGTGACTTGCTCCCTCTCTCAGTCTCATCGTGGTCTGGCTCTGTCCCCCCTGGTGGACCAGCGGGTCTCTCCCGCT